CGGAAAGTTTCTTCTAGTTTGTTTAAATAATTGATAAGTTTCAGATGATTTAAGCCAATCATTTACTTGTTTTTGAGTAATTTTATTGTTTAATTTTTTTGCTTCAAGATATAATTGTCTAGGAGAACTAAAACTAGCGGCTTGGCTAGGATTATAATAGATTGAATCTAAAATTTCTTTATTGAGCTCCATCCTTTTCCACTTTGGAATCTTGTTTTTTGTCTTTCTTCAGCTTTATGTAAAAGTTCTTTCAACGCCTCACTTGGAGTCATTGCTTCTCTACCTTTTGGATTAACAACAACAGCTTCTTCACCAATATTTTGTAAGGCGCGAGCGATAGTTTTATAGCCAGAAGGGCCCGATCCGACATCATCACTTTCTAGATACTGCATCACAGTATTAATATTAGACCCTGGAATTGGTTTTTGACTTGAGTTGATAACTCTTCCTCTTGGGGTGTATTTGTCCTTCAATTGTTGAAGAATAGGTGGACGTTTAGGAGTTACACCTATTACAGCTGGATCCCATGAAAAATCTGCTGAGTCAAAGTCCTTGTATTCATCAATTGAATCGCTGGGTGTTATTTGTGTGATTGGTTGTGTGATAAGTGGTGTCATAGATTGTTGGCTATCTAAGTGACGGTTGACTTGATTTTCAATCATTTGAGGTGGTAAAGGTCTGTCCAAAATGTAGGATATTTTATCTCTTGTGGATGACTTGAGCTTGTTGTACTCATCTTCTGGAATAAGTATCATTTTCGTGTAAGCGTTCATATTTTGTTGGCAATAATAGTTCCAAGTAATGTTATAGCAGGTATTAATAAAGCCGGAAGTGCACCTCCGATTTGATTTATTTTCTTTTTTCTTTTATCAAGATTTACTTGTTTTTGGGCTAAATCTCTAAGAGAGCTCTTGTACTTTGTAAGAATGGCCTTTTCAGTTTCTGAAAGGTGTATTGTACCGTTTAAAATGTTTCGACAGATTTCACTGATTGCGTAAATTATACAAGTTGGTGAGTTTAAAATTAAAGATCGTTGTTCGTTTAATGATTTAGCGTTTGCTATCCTTGAAAGTTCAGGTAAACACCTGATGACACCTTCAATTGTCATATTGATTGAATTTATGGAAGTTGATTGACTTTATATTAATGAACTTTGATATATAATATTGTCAATTATGAATACTCCATTATTGAACCACCATCTATAGATTGGTTGAGGAGTCAATTCGTGGTTAAATTCTGAGAAAATGTGGTCCAACTTGTATAAATATTCACCTTTAGTTATTAGATTTATTGTTTCTTCATCAAAAGTCAAGATTTGACCATCAAAATCCACAATCAGTTTTTGTTTTTCGTCGACAACAATAATGGCTGCTTTTCCAGTTGGTGTGGAAAATGGAGCTAAAGAACTGGGTTCTTTTTTATATTGAATGAAGTAGTCTCTCAAGGCTAAAAAGTCGATCGGGTGAACTTTAATACTTCCACCAGGATGATTTTGGCTTTTTGTTATCAATCGTATTTCAATTTTTATATACCACCTATCTTCTTCTGTTGAAGTGGCTGTATTGACAAATATTGAAAATTCATCACCATTAGAGGTTGTAAATTTCTCAACAGGTATATTTGTAGTCCCCAAATCTTTACGGTCCGTAATTTTATCATTCCATATAGTAACATTCTCTTTATGAACACCTCTGAAAGGGTGGTTACACTTTCGTAAGGCTTTCATGAATTTATCATCAATGTCTCTGCTCATGACAACGGATTGTAGATCAGCCGTCCAAATATAATTGATATTTTTGTGTGAGAATGATAATACACCATTTCTACGAAATTGATGTTCGATGTCGTCTCCAATCTTTTCTTGATAATGATCTAGAAGAAACGTTCGGACTTTATTGAACACTTTGAATGGGATTTTTTGCGAAACTTTTGAATTGTGAGGTGAATGGGTTTCAGTCGAATAAGTTTCTATCACGACTTGGAAGTTCCATTTCTCTCCTGCTTTGATTTTACCAACAAGATGAATTTTATATTCAATTTTATTCAATATTTTCGAATAGTTTGAAAGATAGACTTCCATCTTGGTGATTTATTGTAATGTTGTTAAGCTTGATGACTTTATATAAGGTAAACATCAATAGGTGAGGACCAAATATTTGATAACAATCTCAACTGTTCAATTGTATCAGGTTTACAATCAATAAACAAGTATGAGTAGGGCTTTTCTGTCACTTTTTCAAACACTTGAACAAATGATTTGACTTTGTTGGGAAACATCTGACGGGCTAGATGTTGAATAACTGTTTTATCACGTGGGTTCTTAAACATGACTATATAATGAGCGTTCAAGGTTATAGTTCTCATCTCTTTGCCTTTATTGAAAAAGTTTTGGACAAGAAGAATAACTGATATGTTTTGATGATGAGATCCTTTGGTGAAAAGTTGACTGATTAATTGACTTTTCGATGATTCGTCCATTAAATCGTCTATTATCACCCAAATTGGATTATTATCGGGGTTGAGGTTTTCTAAAAGGTTATCTTGTAAGCCTTTAATGAACGTTACCCCAATTATACTAGCGAATGAGGGCTGATATTCTCCATATAAGTAATAAATATGTTGTGGTGATGGATGAGATGCAAATAAAGCGTTTTTGATAAGTTGTTGTACCCAAAATGTTTTACCACAACCAGTTGGTCCACTGACCACCATGGTAAAAGGGTGTTTTAAATAAACAGAATACATTATATGTTAATGATTCAAACATCCAATCCTTTATATAATAGAAAATGATGGGATAAATATATATAATGAATTTAAACTTTTGACATGGGTTTGTGACCTTTAACTAAATAGACAGAGAAAAAGAAAGAGAAAAAGAAAGAGAAAAAAGAAAGGAAAAAGAAAGAGGTAAAAGTGGTAGAAATTCTCGTTTAAAAGAAAGAGAAAGAAAAAGGAAAAGGGGCCAGAGAAGACTTTTTATAACTACTTTTAAACTCTTGAGAAAATAATATCATAAATTATTGGATAATGATTTAAATTGTTGTTGTTATCATGTGGATGTAGAATCAATTGTAATTGTTGTTGGAACATTTTCCCTAGTTTTTTACAATTAGATATATTATTACAATTGTAATATGAACAATTTAATGCATCTCTCTTGCAATTTAATCTTCTTCCGTAATCCATTAGTTTAAGAATAACAATCTAACCCATTCCAAGGACAATTAAAGTAATCACTTAAATCATGGTCATGAATTAGCTCTCAATCAATGAATTTAAAGTGACTTTCATTGCATTGGAAAATTACAGTTAATTTACCCTTGTCATTAGAGTGTAATTTTTATTATGCTTGCCTTAGGCGATCCAAGCACAAGAAAAATACCCCATAACAATCAAGAGAAATTAAATTGAGAGAGAGAGAAAGACATTTAGAATTTAAAGAAAACAAAATTAAGGAAGAGAAAAGGAGGAGGGAGAAATCGAAAAATCGACCCAAAACTTAGATGATGTTAATTGTGAAATTTCATTGATAATCTTTGTTTGATTGTGAGCGTTTAACTTGTGATGATTTTGTGTCAATTTTGTTTCAAATTGGTGAAAATATAACTCGATCAAGTGAACCATGTATTCAAATAATTATCTTTTCCTTTGGTTAATCCTTTGTCTCAATTGTAAAATAATTAGTTGTTTCTTTGTCACCAGTGAGTATAACCATCATCATCTTACTAATTGCAAGGAATTAATTTTACAACAATTTCTTTTCTTTTCTGCCAATGTGTCACTTTTTCTGTGTCACCTTTTGTCCAGATGATACCAAATGTCCAGAGCTTCTTAATCAGATTGATCTGACGGTTAAGGATATTCTTCACATGAGAGACAGTCCACTTTTTCCGGTCAACGAAACGACCAGAGATTTATACTGCAGGTAAGACGAGGAAGATGAATGCTTGGAAAATTTACTAAATTGTTTAATCTCTTCGACGATTGGTCCCTAATAGGCCTTATAAAACATTGATACCGACGATAGTTAAAGTAGCTCCTTGTTTACCACCATTTTTAACACAAGTGATTCTCATTTTTGGTTATGGCCAACGAAGGGTTTTGAAAGCGGCTTGTGGAACCAAAGATCCAGGTAATTGTTGTCTATTTCTTTTTGATTAGATTCAGTTGTTGGGATTATCTTTTCTTTTTGTTTTCATAGAAATTTTCAAGTACTACCAGTGTATCGATGAAGATTATGCACAAAAATTGCGAACCAATGAAGCCATTTACTTAAACTCCTTGTCTATGATCAAAGAAAACGCCACCGAAGCTCAAATGATTCCCGCTCTTTGCTGTGCCACAAGGAAGGTTCTTGAAGATTCTAAATCTTTAGAATCACCCAAATGTCCAAGTAACAGTACACTAGATATTTCGGGTTACATGCACGATAGATTAACCGAGGGATTAGACGATTTTCTTACACTTGTTTGTAGTACATTTCCTGATTTTGTCACTTGTAGACGAAAATCACCAAAAGCGGTTAGATTTTTGTTGAAAATGAATCACAGAATGTAGATTTCACCAACAAAACATTGGTTCAAACCTTCCTCTCAATAATGAACAAACTAACCTCATAAAAACATAATCAAAATCACAACAACAACAACAAAAAACAAATAACTTATTCAAAAAAACATCAAAACGATCAACTCATCAAACTAATAAAAGGATTAACAAAATATTCCAACTAAATCAACACATAAATGGATTGATTTTCCTTCTCATGGGTCACTGGAACTTCATCTCACAATTAATCACCTTAAAACTTTAAATCTTTTACATTTTAATTTCTATTTATTAAAGAAAAATGCAAGAGAAAAACATTCGAAAGCAAATTAAATTGTTAATCAATTTTTTCAAAAAGAGAAAATTAGAATTCGATGTATCGATGATAACCGATACTATCGATTTCTCTTCAGAGATCATAACAAACCTATAAGAAGAAAAGGAAGTTACAAAGAGAGAGAAAGAGAAAGAGAAAAAGTTAATTTTTCTAATTAAGTAAATTGTCGGTTTTTTATTCTTTGTTTTATTTATTTGTTCAAAGTGATCAATATCTTGGTTTTTAATCTTGATTGTGTTCGTGTGAAAGTTTGATTTGGTTCTTTTTTTATTCTTTCGTTGGATCAAAAGAAAACAAAAGTAACATGATTCCTCAGAGTGATTCTGGTGATTTACCCATTGAAGAGGGTGAAGAGGTTGAAGCTGAGGAAGTTGTTGCCAAACTGATTTGGCCCTCACAAGATGTTCAACAATTGTTGGAAAATATTCAGGCCAATATGCCTAAAAATGATACTGCTAAATATTCAACGACGGCTAAGAAACTTAATTGGGAAGATATTAAGTTTGGTGAATATACTGCCGATGATTGTAAAACTCAATGGGATTTGGTTTCAACCAGGATCAGAAGATATCGGACTTTGGGTGAAGTTGTTGGCGATGCAAGAGATTGGGCCAAGAATCCTTATAATAATGCTTCACTTAATAAGAAAACTCGTCACCCTGGATTACCTAAGAAACCATTATCTCCCTTTTTACGATATTTTATGGAGAAAAGGGCTCGTTTCGCAAAGAAAAATCCAGATTCAACATCTGTCGTTGAAATGGCTAAAGCTCTGGCTGCTTCTTACCGAGAATTATCTGAGAAAAAGAAGGCTAAATACAAGCAAGCCTTTGATCAAGAAAACGATGAATATAAGCATAAAATGGAAGAGTTTAAAAGACTACACCCTGAGATCGATTTAAGTAATCATTTTCCGAAGCAAAGTTATCCTGGACCCGTTCGGCCCAAGACACCATTCCAAATATTTTTACAGAAAAAAACAAAAGATCGAATTGATTCAAAGGAGCCTGAGGATGTTGATTTTTCTAAAAAAGATAATTTAGAACAGCTGAGAAAAGTTTGGCATGATCTGACTGATAAGAAACGTTTGAAATGGATTAAAAAATCTATTGCCGATGAAAAAAGGTACCTCGAAGAATTGGAGAGCTACAAAAAAAATCACCCTGACTTCGAGCCACCAGTTATCAAGGTTCTAAATAAGGCGGAAAAGGACTTAAAACAACGTTATGATGGAAAACCCGAGAAACCTCCTTGTTCAGGTTATGCTCTTTACTCTAAGATTATGTTGAAAAACAAGACGGACGTTGCTGCGAGGGATAAAATGGCCGCCATTGCACTGGAATGGAAAGAGTTACCGGTTGAAGAAAAGAATCGGTATAATCAAGAGGTTACAAAGAAACAAAAAGAATACGTTGAAAAGATGGAAGCTTATCTTGCATCTTTACCGGACGATGAGAGAGAACAATTTATTGCAGAAGAAAAATACAAATCTCCAAGTGAAAAATTAAAGAGTAAAAGTAGTTCATCAAATCATAATCTTACTGTTGAAGATTTAGCAAAAGATGCGAACAATTCAACAGCCGCTCAGTGTTATTTCCAAGCAGAAAGAGTTGTTGCCTTACAGGCAAGAAGTCATAATAAAAGTCAAACAGAGCTGATTGGTCAAATTAACAAGGAATGGGCTGAAATGTCATTGGACAAGAAAGAGAAATATTATCGCATGGTCGAAAATCTAACTAATGCTGCTTCTGCTTCTTCTTCTTCAGCAATTAAAAAAGCTCCAGTTAAGAAAGGTAAATCAGATGATCGTTTGGAAGGTCTCAGTAGTGTCGAAATTGATATGGTTAGAATCTTAGAGAAACGACAACCCAAAATCCCACCTAAAAATCCATATTCGATATTTTTGACTGAAAAGTTGGCCCAATTGAGCAATTTCGAACCTAAGAAACGCATGGCTGAAGTCTCACGTCTCTGGAAATCTGTGTTGACTGAAAAAGAGAAACTAACTTACGAATCAAAGGTTAAAGAAGCGCAAGAACATTATGAAAAAGAGTTGCAAACCTTTATCAAGGTAAGTTTCCTCTCTATTTAATTCATTAATCGTGATCTCTCTATAATTTAATTTTCTATTCTTTTCTTTCAAATTTTTCAGGGACTGAATGCTAAAGAACTTGCTCTTTATGAAAAGTATATCAAGAAACCTGAAGCAAGTGCAAGTAGTCAGCGGAAGAGAAGTAGACCCAATAAAGTCGCTGCCGTTCAAGAAGAAAAGGTTGATTCTGACGAAGAAGAGGACAAAGAGGAAGAAGAAGAGGAGGAAGAAGAGGAGGAGGAGGAAGAAGAAGAAGAAGAAGAAGAGGAAGAAGAAGAAGAGGAGGAAGATGAAGACGAAGAAGAAGACGAGAATGAGTCTGAAGACTCTGAGGACAGTTCTGATAATGAGAACAGAGAACCAGCAACAAAAAAATCTCGAATCTAAAAAGGAAAGATGAAAAACTCTGATATCGACGAAATGATTAGTGAAACAAAAGTAAAGCTCATAAACGAAAATTGGACCAGCTGAGTTTTGTTTACTTCTTTACTCTCTCGACATGTTAATCTTATATTCATCATCTTTATTTTTACAAAGAACAACAACAAACAAACATCGCCACTATCCTTCTACTCACCATTCTTCAATTTAAAATTACACAATCAATCACAAAACACGTCGCGGAGAACTCACATAATCAATAATTAATCAATTCATTAATTTTCTCAAATTTATTCCCACCTTTCTTATCCTTCTTTAACTAATATCTCTTAATTGGAGTCTGATTGAATATCAATATATTTAGCATGTCAAAAGAAGACAAAGTTATTTGAATGCTGTGTTTTTTGATCATTATTTAAAATTTATTAAATGAAATTATTTGAAATTGAATCTTTTTTTTTGTTTCGAGTAATGAACAAAAAAAATCACAATCAAAAGCAGAGAATTAAAAAAATATTAGTTTACAAGGTTCGCCGGAAAATTCCGGGTCTCCAGTTGATCGGGAAAGTTTCTTCGGTCGCTTCTTCGTCCACTTTGTACATTTTGATGGTTTTATCACATTCGCCGGTAATGAATCGAGAGCCGCTCTTGTCAAAGGTACATGCGAACAGGGCATTGTCCGATTCCATGGAACCAGGTTGAGGAATTGATTTAATCTTCTGGAAATTATAACCAGTCTTCCAATCCCAGAAGAAAAGGGAACCATCATTACCTCCCGAAACTAGAACATCATCTTCATTTACTGCTAAACAATTAACACTATTGTGTCCACTTAAATTTTGGCTAAATTGTCCTTCAGGGCAAAGCCATTGTTTAATATTATCGGGAGCACCAGAGACAAACATGTTATATGTTGGATGAAATTGAAGAGCACGAACACTTTTCTTATGGTGAGTTAAAGTGACCATTGTTTTACCGGCAACAATGTCCCATAATCTGATTGTACTATCATGAGATCCTGTGATTACCTGAGGATCAGCTGTTTGAGATTGAATTGAAGCAATTGTATCATCATGGCCACTTAATGAATGAATTTGAGCTTTAGTCCTCATATCCCAGAGACGGCCAACTTTATCTCGACCTCCAGTTACCAGAATATCAATATCAGGATGTAAAGCAATTGCATAAACGGCACTTAAATGTCCATGATAATGTCGGATTACTTTATTATATTCGAGATCCCAACATTTAACCATTTTATCCTCACCACATGAGAAAAGGTAAGGTTGTCGTGAACTGATGGCCAACCCGCGAACTGGTGAAATATGACCGGTAAGTGTTAACTTAAGTGTTCCTTTGGCTAAATCCCAAATTTTGATCAATCTATCAGTTGAACCAGAAGCAAACCATTCATTTGCCGGATCAATTGCTAAACACCTAACCCATCCCGTGTGACCACTAATAACCCGAGCTAATTTCCATGGTGCATGCCATTGAGGTTTCGGCATAACCGGTGCCTTACGAGGGATAATAACACCACCAGAAGATAAGACAACCGATTTTTGATTATTCTGATCCATGATCGGTGATTCATTTTGTTTACTATGAAGAACCAGTGATTCTAAAAAAAATAAGAGGGAAAGAAAGCAAATACAAAGAACCAATTAGACGATGAAAAGAAAACAAAATTAACAACCAAACAATTAACTTACGAGAATGTGATGAATTGATAATTGAAGATTTAGAAGGTGAAGAGAAATCTTTTAATTTGTTTGGAGTCTTTAAATCAACCAAATCAATGATGGGTCCATATTGGTCAACCGCTCTGATAGATTTACTTATTTTATCAGCTTGAGGATCTTCAGCTGGAACACAACCCTGATCATTGACGAAAAGATCATGACTTCTTTTAATAGATCGAAAAATTAATCTCTGAGGAACCATAATTAAGAAGGAAAAACACAATTAACAGAAAAAAACAAATTCTATTCTCAAATTGTCAATTCTAATTCCTCGTTTTTCTCACTCTTTCTTTCTCAAAGAAAGAGATCATATGTTTCAAGCGGAATTTTCAATTCTCTTATTTTTATTGTGATTCCATTTGAAGAACAAACAATTTGAACAATTAATCAATTGGAAGAACAAATTGTTTCTATTTAAATTACTGTTTTCACCGATTAATTTTTATTGGAAATCTATTAAACAGAGTTACAGTTTCACTTGAATTGGTCTAATCCATTGTAATGAATAAAAGGTAAGTTGGGTTAACATTTATAATTTGATTTTCCATTTATGTTTCTTGTTTCTTGTTGTTTCTTTCCTATTGATTATTAACACTCTTTAATTGTTATACTGGATGGAGAATATTAATTCACCATGTTAATTACAATTTAGGCTTTTCTCTTTCTCTTTCTCTTGTTTTCTAATTTCAAGGTTAATCAATGATTAACAATAATTGACTTGTATTGAGAGACAAACATACCAATCATTTAGTATTATTATTATTACTCATTCACCACCACCAAGGAAATCTGGTTAAACAAAATTCCCTAATCCGTGAAATTTGTCAACCATCAACAATCAACAATTACTATCCTTAATTGTGATAATTTCTTTCCAATCACCATGATTTAAATGTAAATCAGTCTACACAATTTAAATGGTAACCCAACTGTTGGAACATCAATATAATAGTGAAAGAGGATTTCTCTTTGTTTGTTCATGTTGATTGTTAATCAACAAAAACAACAACCGAATCAATGTTGAATAATCATCTTAGGCCTTAATTATCCAATTCTCTTAACTTGTTTTTCCTTTGTGTTCATTTGATTTTCTTTCTTTTCTCATTTTTCTCTTCTCTTAAATCTCTTTTCTTTTCTTCTCTCCTTCCATGTTGTTCCTGTTTCTTTTCCAACGCCTTGGAATCTTGTCTCTTACAGAATAGAATAGAATAATTTTTATTATTCTAAATCGAATTGAATCAAAAATTCTCTGCTCATCTATTCTTGATTCACAAAATATTCGCCATCAATTTCAATTCTTTATTTGACCCGCTGAAAAAAAAGGTAAGTTCTTGTTTATGAACAAGTTGTTAATCAACTTTCCTTGTTATCCACTTGAGTGACAACATTATCCAATTTGAGAACGTTTCTTGTTTATTGTGTGTCATCATCATCTTCATCTTCATCATCAATATTATCATCAATTGTGTCCCTTTCATCAGTTAATTTACCTCAATTCTACCATAACAATTAACAGTGATTCCTTGTGTATATTTTTGCCAAGGATTTATAATCTTTGGATACTGGGAAAGAAGCTAATTGTTTTGTTTTTGTATTTTCTTTTTTTTTCTATTTTGTATCCAAATTACTATTCTTTCTTTAGCTTTTTATCCACATCATCTTAAAACATGAGCTTCATCTCTTCAGGTTGGCAATGGATTAAACGTCATAAAGGTAAATTAATGGTCGCCTCTGGGGTTGTAGGTGGTTTTGTTGTTCTCAATCGTTATTTGTCTGCTGTTGAACGTAATTGGGAAAATTCATCGGTTAAAGATTTTGTTTCCGAGGTTCGGAAAAAGGAGATGCACTTTGACAATACAATTCAAACCTGTAACACTACGGTCATCAATTTAACACCTCGGGCTCTCTCTGTTTTGGATAATCTACTTAATTGTGAAACACTTTTGGATAAATTAAAGTCAAGTGCATCATCGGAGGAGAAATTATTACTTTGGGAGGAATTGAAGATTCGTATCATCACTCGGATAACCTCGGAAATTTACTCTCTCTCCCTGTTTGTTTGTTTCTCTCGTATTCAATTAAGCCTGATTGCCGGTTATCTTTATGTTGATTGTTGTAAAAATGGTACAACTCCAGGAATAATTAACAAAAATATTCAAATGTATTATTTATCTCTATTGGAAACCTTTTTCACCCAAGGAATACAGAAATTAATTCAACCCATCCAGGAATCAGTTATCCAAGCAGTTGGATCAATTAGTTTAAAGGAAAGGATTGAATTAACCAATTTGAAAGAAATGTTTGACAAGGTTGGTTGATTGACCGATTATTTTAAATTTCAATGGATTTCACATGAAACATGACGATCATGAGGAAATTATTTCATCAAAAAGTAGACGAATTTAAAAAAAAGAAGATGGATAAAAGCTATTGAAGAAATCACAAAATGCTAAATTGTAGATGAAAAAAAATACTTGTTTTCTTATTGAGAATCTCCATTCAATTCAATGTACTCAAGCAACTTGTCAGGTCACATTGAGAAGATGAAGAGATAACCTCAAAGTATACCTGAGATTACCTGATAATACATATGTCAACCGCTATGGTTAATCATTAAGGTATCAAGAATTGTTTTGTGTTGATAGACAAACAATAGATTTGATTGTTTCATCCTGTGTTTGCTTTCACATGTAAATGATTTATTTCCAATCTAAGTTGTAAAAAAAAGGAAATCACTTCTTCCTACAGAAATTGATGTTTACCTGTCAATTTCCTTATTTTATTCATTGATATTATTTCTCACCTTTTCTTTTTTGTTTCTTTCAGATAAAAGCAAACATGAATTTCTTCATGAATTCCCCTGATTTTAAAATTAGCCAATATTTGGTTACCACCAGTAATCATGCACGATTGAATGATCCACCGGCAACATCCACTCCCAATGGTCAAACCTCACCAACACCAGAAGCATCCTCATCCTCTGCCTCATCAACCTCATCCAATTCAACTTTCTCCTCGTCTTCCACCATTCCAATTCATAATTTATCCGCTAAAGACATGGCAATCATTCAAAATATGCTCATCGAAACTGAAGATCTTCTTGAAAGTGAAGATTTTAAGAAAGTAATCAATTCAACAATCGATGTAGGCTATTCAATCATGATGGATCTATTGGTTGGTTGTTTTCTTCGTATCGATTCTGATCCTGGAATTGAAACCAACAATGGTTTCAAGAATCCACACACTCAAAGTGTTCCCTTTGCTAAACTTTTACCACCTCTGAATAATACCCTTAAAGAGAGAGGTAAATCATCCGATGAAGCACTTTCCCTGGTTCGACATCTTCTTTGTACCGATGTGATCAATTGTTTCTCTGCCAATGTCTATGAATCTTTCAGTGGGGACAGTGTACAGAAAAGTTAATTATACACTTTCAATTTCATCGCCGTTATCACATCACAAATTTTGGTCACTCTCCCTGTACCTCAATATCAATCGCAATGTCACATATTCTGTTTCCTTATCCTTTATTTTTATCATGCTCATCACCATCAGCTGATTCCGGCAATCGTATTGATGGTTTCCACAACAAACAATCAGAATCTTCAACTAAGCTAATTATTTTCTCAACTCTTGTTACCAATTTTGTTTTTTTCTCTTCTTCTAAAAACTAACAATTTATATACTTATTGGATTCTCTTCTCATCATTACCCACAACAATCAGTTCTCAATCTACAGAATCAATCAAAACCTAATCGATTCACTTTCTAACTTTACCTTCAGTTTAATGATCAAAAATTATCTATGAATCTGCTTAATTGTTCATTAACAATGCACCAAGTGATCACCTTACCTGATTTCGCTGTTAAATTGTTGTTTTGGGTTCTTTTTATTATTTAATCCAGCGGACATTTTATATAAAATGATTTAATTTAATTTCACACAAAACAGACTGATTGTCATTAAATGGTCACATTGTGATATTGGTCGTTAATTGAACAAAATTAATTCAATTGAGGAAATGAGTGGAACAAATTTTTTTCAATTTCATTTTTCACTGTCAAATTAACAACAATTTAAAATTTTCGTTAATTTTAACAATCTACTTAGGGTATTTTCCCGTTTGGTGAAAAATTAAGACTATTTTACAATTAACTGTTGTAAGATAATTAACTTTAATCTTATCTCATGGATATTCATACGGGAACAATTAAGTTACTTTTATTTTCGTGACTCTTGATTGTGATTTTAATTAACTGGCATGTTACATGTAATATTAAGACTTAACAATTACCGGTTTAAGGTTATAATATTTAACTAATTCAATAGATGGCGATTCGAGTTTCAGTTTAATTGTTACAATTAAATTGCACAAAAAATTCAGAAGCTTAAATTGATTTAATTAGATTAACTTGTTATCATCATTAAATCTTGAACGTTTTGTTTTGACTTCATCACCCACTCATCTTAATTGTGGTCAAAATTTGAATCCATCATCAACTGTTTCCTCACAAATCAAATAATCACGATTTATTAATTGTTAACAATCAAGGAAATAAAGATGAAGGAAGCGATAAACAATCAATCAATCAAATTGATTTGACATTAAACACAAAATTTTGAGGGAAAAAAATTCAATTTTAAATCAATCTAAACATCAACATCTATTATTAAATTTTCATCAACTAATTAGTTGATTAACATCTCTTAATCAATTGGTTAATCAATTAAAAAGCGGATGTAAATAACAACCAAACAATCAGATTGATTTCTTATTGAATCGGTTAATTGTTCAGGTAAATTGTTACAATACCCTTGAATTGGAAAAAGTTACCACAAGGATTAGAAACAATTAAGCCACAAGTTTAACTAATCTCTAAATTATCCTAATTGTAACCTCGTTTACTTAATCATTTATCAATCTAATTCTCAACCTCCACTCCCTTTAATCAGCATAATATTAATCATCTAGTAAGAATTGATTGTTAACCCGAACAGACATCAACTTATTGAACAATTAATAGTTGAAAAGATTCGCAATTCCCATAACAATTAAAATTAATTTGGTTGTTCAATGACAAATTGGAAAGTTTCATCCTAATCATTATCTTGATCCCTTTTAATTATTCTGGGAATTAGTTAACTAACAACAATTAATAATATTAATCGAGGCCTAAGTTAAGTTTCAACGAGCAGAAAAAAACAAAATTATTGTGACTTCGGGTTGGGCTTTAATTGTTTTCTTACTTTGGTTGTTAATTTGATTGTTGTTTGATCTGATTAAACTTGTGTTACTGTGAACTGAATTAAAAAGTAAACTGTTAACATGGTAAAGGGTTAATTGTTTGGAATTGCGAAAAAGTAAAAAATCAAATTAAATGAACAAAACAAAAAAGGGTTAACTCTTTAAATGAATTTAGGTGAAGATCAATAATCTAATTGTAACATGATTATTTGGCCGCTCAAAGGGATTTAACTATTACACAGGTAACACATTAAATTGTTTTGATTAACTAAATTGTATCATCATCATCACCATCAGGCTGAGCAATTTAATTCATCATCATAATTAAAATTACCATCATCATTTGATTATTAAAAAGAAAAACAAAATTGTGAAAAAAAAACAACAAAACATAAACAGCTCAAAGTGATTATTAATTGTAACGATTAATTGTCCGTTCTCAGTGATTTAACTAATCATTAACAATTATCTTAATCGTCATTTAGTTGGATCTCAATTGATTTGAGAGCAAAGTTTAATTGTTGTTTGGGAATTTTAAAACCTCGTTAATATTAAGATTGAAATGATTATATTACAATAAGTGAATACAATTAACAAGAATTTCATTTTAATTTTAATAACAATTTAAATCGGAGAAAAAGGTTGATTTAATTGTTCAACGTTTTCTCTCAATGGGTTATCATTATCAAGGAACATGATTAGTTGATTAACTAAAGGGCAACTAATCATTTTGAAAGGATAAACTATTAACTCTCACCAAAGGGAATCATTAGCAAAATTGAAACCAGAATTAACCTAAATTAATTAATTAATGATTACAATCAAGTAAATCATCATCATCATCATCATCTCCTTATACAATATAATCATAATGTACTGATTAGTATCATTCAATTTTTAATTTTTCTGTCTTCTAACTAATTTAGTTTACCTCAAGTCTTAATCTTTAACATTCATCAAAATCATTTAATCCAGTTAATCAACTCAATGAACAATTTCATGTAATCATAATGTTCAAAGTGAATAAGAAATTTTTTTTAATTCACTTCATCTCTTGTCCAACAATTAACCAAATAGCGATAACAATTTAAAACTTGCTTACCAACAATTGATACACAGTTAAGATTCATAATTAATATTAGATTAATTTAACTATCACCTTTAACCTTGATCATTAAGTTAATCATTTTGAATAAAGATCCGTGATTTAATTTACCTTTTTTTTTCATGAAATTTTATAGTTAATTTAGTTTAACAATTTAACTGGAATCATCAACCAATTGATGATGTTAATCAACATCCTCATTGATTATTATTCAATAATTATCCCTCAATAATGTGTATCAATCCAGTTTGTGTTGATAATCAATTTAATAAATTGTTTATGTTACCATTTTAATCACAATTTAAATATTAATAAAGTCCCACACCTAAATTGTATTACAATTGATTTGCAAGTTATGCTAATCAATTGATTGTTGCTGTTGATTAATATTATTTTCAAGATTATTAATATGTTTAAATTATTGATCCTCACTCTCATTGCCTCATCTTTAATTGTTAATGATGATTAAAGATGATCCTCTTAATTATGATTAAAACTTGGGTGTGGATTTTAAAAAGCATTCACATAATATTGTATTGATGAACAGCTCAACCAGGATCAGGAAAATTAATCACAATTAAAAATTAAAGTTACGCTTATCCAGAACAATTTAAATCCCTCTTTGACTAAATTAAATTGTTACAATTTGTTAATTGTGATCAAACAAATTGATACATAAAATCAGTTTAACCAAACCAACAATTATTATTAGTAATACAATCTAAATATTTATATTTTATTACAATTAATCTTAAAGGTTAATCAATCAGTTGATTGTGATCATCATTCATAATTAACACTTTGTTATGTTGCTGGATTCATTACAATTAAGATTAAATTGTCAATTGTATTGATTAACCTTTAGATTTAACATTTGAAAACTTAATTTAATTTGATTTTTGATGATAAAATTGTGATTTTTGTTATTATATTGATACTACAATTAGACTTGATTGTTAACCTTTATTTTACATTTGATTTGATTTCTTTAGCAATTATTTAAACAACTTCGTGTTTTAATTAACCTTTGATAACCATTGATTAGCTTTCTCATCATCATCTTGATTAACAACAACAGCAGAAAAACAATCTAATCAACAAGTTAACAGTAGCAATTAGAAACGGCATCAAAGTTAATTGTTGACGAGAGTTTATTTTGATAGTTTTCATTGATTTGTGTTTAAATTGAATTGTTAATAATCACGAGCCACAATCACCATTAGATTTAAATCTCAATAATCTAAATCTTAACCACAATCAATGAGTTAACAGCTAATTAAACGCTGATCAAATCTCGCAAGTTGGTAGCCACTTAACTATTACAATCAAGCATTTGCTTGAATGGATTCTGTTAAATTGTTATCAATTCTGGTTGATTGTCACAGTTTTCAGCGTCTTTATCAGAAATAATCCTAATTGCTAATTACAGGCAACATTTAATTCCTGGAAGGAAATCTCATTACACATCGAAATTTAATTGTTGAAATTGTAAGAGATTGAAATTAAACATCATCTTAATCCAGTTAATTTCATCTTGTTAAAATCATCGGAAGTCCAAATAATTAAGGGTATCGCAGGGCAGTTGGTTAGAGCAATCAACTAATTTACTTGGATCGTTTGATGAAATGACTTGATCAACTTGATTTGCTTTTATTTTGGTGAATTCCAATAGCAATTTAGTTAATTAAATTTAGTTATAATTAAATTTGTAAGCTGAATTTTCTGATAGAAATGACAATTTGTGATGGTCCAAAATTTAACCTGATTAAACCCTTTCCAATGATTAGCTAATTTAGTTTGAAATTCTGTCAACATTAATGTTGAAAACAACAACCTATGATTATCCTGATTAAATTAACTAAATCAAATTTAATCACATACACAACATAAATTGTTAATCAATAAGAAGAAAAAATCAATTCAACTTTTCACCCGAAAAAGTTAATTAATTTGACTCTGACATTTTCTAATAATTAATTACCTTTGACATGAATTTGAATAGTCACATATACACAATCAAGTTAATTGTGAGCAATTAAGTTTCTCAAGTAAATTTAAATGGTTTAGAAAGAGGAAAAAATTAAATCCATTAACATACATTTTCTGGTAAAGATCATCAAGTTAATTGTTACAATGTTTAATTCACTGGATTAGCTAAATTATTTTGATGTTAAATTTGATATAAATCACAATCATAAAGTTGTGATTAACAATCTAAACCATAATCAGTGTGTAATTCAAGTTACAATAATTAACTTAATGCCAAAATTAAGGTGAGGTTGTTTATTTAATAGCAAATGATTAAACTGATTCAGTTATGTGAACGGATAATTAATCATTTGTCAATTTAGTAACTAAAATTAAAACCATAATAATAATCAATATTTATCTATGTTGAATCTTTATCATTAGGAAAAAACAATTAACAATTAAGAAACTGATTGAAAAGCCAAAAATCAAATCAAATTGTCAAAAAGCTCCTTAATTGTAATTTTCTGTTGATTGAGAAACCAGAAAACAAAAAATTAACAGAAAGTAATTAAACTGTATTGGTTAATCAAGTAACACCCGATGATTTGTCATTAC